GTACAATATCTAGTGAATATAGTAATAGATCAAAACGAGAAATAAGTTGTTCTGAACATTCGGATAACACTCATTTAAAAAACGACCAAAAAAAAAATCATCGATAGTACCCGTGTGGAAAATGACTAAAAAATAGTCCAAGAACGAAACTATTCCATAGTATTTTCTTCTTTTTTTTTTTTACAAAATATGTGTCGTTAACCGTGGGGTGTCGTGATCTTAATACGCTTATGTCAATTTTTAAGGGGAATCGAAGCTCAAAGTCATCGTCCTCAATGACTTTCTCGAGGACACAATCTGCGTTGGATTGTGACATCCAACCTAGTAGTTTTGAAAATGAATGCATTAAAACGAGATATTTTTTTTTCAAACACACCCGATTTTCTCTTTTACCTAATTTCATTATCAAACTCACCTACTGTATTATTTAATAATAATAATAATAATTTGGAGTTAAATAAATAAAATATTGATTAATGTTCAATTAATGAGCCAAATTTGGTAAGACCTAGTTTATAATAAGATTTGTGGTTTATTTGGTCTATTAGTTATTTGTCGTCTTGTTGTCTCCATCTGATTCTCCCTAACGTCGATTTTTTACCTCACGTTGTCAGTTTACTCTAACTCCATTTTCGACTTTTTCAACTATCCTTAATCCCGACCTTAACGTTAACGGATTCCGTTAACCAGCATTACATTTACACCCTTTTCAAAACATAATAATAATAATATTTTTGTTTTATACTTTTAAATTGAACTATATATATATAAACATTTTTTTAATTAATCTGATATAAATTTGAATTTTACGTATAATTCTAAACTTTTAATTTTATCGAGTAAATGTGTAATTTTTTTTTTTTAAAATATCAAAATATTAGGACTAGATTGGGTGAATTAAAATTTAGGACCCAAATATATATATATATATATATATATATATATATATATATATATTATATTTAAAAATTAAATTATTTTAAATGTTCAAAAATCTAAAATTCAAATTCGAAAGGCGATTTTGAAAATGCCGTTGGAATTGGTTAAAAATTACGGAAAGAATTACCGAAAATAGATAAAAAGAAAAATAATAATAAAAAAAAGGAACCGGGTAATTATGTTTTGGGTGTGGTTGGTCGGGCCCAAAGCACTAGGCTACGGCTTCCCACAAAACCACATCATGTCAATTAAATCCTTCTTTTTTTTCTTTTTTTTTTTAATATAAAAAAAAAAAGGTTAAAAATATATTTTTTATTTATGAACTTTTTGTGAAAATAATAATTTTATCGTATACTTTTTAAAATTCGTAACAATTTAGCGGTTAAACTTTAATATATATAATTTAGTTTCTATGGTTCAAAATTTGTAACAACTTCTTTTACTGCGGTAAAAAAATATTTTTGTTTGGACCGTCAATGATATGATTTATAAATATATTTAGTCTATAATCATTTTAAACCTCATTTATTTTCTTGGGTTTTGAGAGGTACAATGATGTTTTTTTAGTTCAACAATATGTATGATTAGGGATAGGAATTGTAGAAGTGCCCAAGTAAACCGAAAATTGAAACCGAATCAGGTTGAATAAAACCTGATGGCACACCATGACATATTCATCTAGGGCATAACTGTAACACGACCAACTTGTTAATACCAATGCAGACTTCATCTATCTAGATAGTTTAATACGGTTAACCGACAACCCTTTAATAGTCCTCACAATGTATATGATAACATAATCAAAAGGAGAGGACCGTGTCCACTTGTCAGTTACATAGATGCTATGTGGTCCCTTACCCCTCAAGACAAGTTTAGTATTAGCGATCAGTTAGCTAACCACTAATAGACCCCTCGTATTAACTTATTTTGGAGGGTCGTAATCTTATAATTACGATCAGGGTATTATAGTGTGCATAACTAAGTATAAACATGCTAAATTACATTAACAATCAACAAGTCAACAAAAACCGAGTAACCAAATAGAAACGTGCAGCTGATAGAGTCCCTCAAACAAGAGTCCATTTATAATTCAGTTACTACCTATAGAGTGTCGAATGCTTTAAATTCAATAAAAATTTATACTGTGCTTAAACTATAAGCCAAACTTGATGAAATTAGACCGACCGACTAAGGTATTTCCGTCTTTTATCCATTTAACGAGTCATAAAACCTCAAAATCGACATATTAATTAATTAACTAACTTAATGTTACGAGAATGCCCTTCCCCTTTTCCCTTATTTTTCTCTCTTTTTTCTAATTCCCCTTTTAATTCTTCTTTTTTTCTTTTTCTTTTACTTGTTTTCTATTTTCCTTTATTTCCTTTTATTTTCTATTTTTTCCTTTTCCTCTCTTTATATATATATATATATATATATATCATTTTCCAAATTCCCTTCTTAATTTCTCCAAAAAAAAAAAAATAATAATAATAATAATAATAAATATTTTTTTTACATTATTTCATCATCAATTATTTAATATATGGATGACGTGGCTTAAAATATAAATATGAATGGGAGTATCACTTTAACCTACTTAACTAATTAAATATTTATTCTAAATATCAAATATTTAAATTTAAACTAATTATTTGAGCGTGTTTTTAAAATTTTAAAAATAATTTAAAAAACTTTTTAATATATATATATACACCAAAATTATTATTTTTTAGATTAAAATATTTAAATCAATAAAAAAACAAATCTTTAACCTTTTGAGGCATATTCAATATAAAAAATTTAATTAAACAATATTTATTAATTAGAAATTAGAAATTAATGAAAAATATTTATCAAATGAAACGAGAAAAGTGCTTATTTTGTTCATTCTACCAAATAATATATTTTTTATATATAAAAAATATTTCTTTTTAATTTTCCATAATATTATAAATTACATGAATTTTTTAAAACAAAATTATTAATTAAATACTCAAGGCAACCTTGTAAGCTCACCACCAACTTGGACATTTGAAGATGGGCTTGGCCCATTAGACTCCATGTTTCCATTCAGCCCAACTCAGCCAGTGGGTTTGGCCCATTAACTCACATCATTTTTACACATTTTTAATAAATAAATAAATTAAATCACAATGAAAATGTCAATTTTTACCATTTGTTTAAATTTACCAATACCCGTAAAATTGAAACCTTGAGTACTTAAAATCGACCCACGAGTAAATCTAACACTTAGATGGAAGAATACATGAATATATCGACACTATATCGATCAAATTATGCAAGTATGGTAAAATAAAATTGGTAAAAATTATTAATTACTACTCTCACTGGAAAACGGTCATTCACGAATTAACCAAGCTCGATTTGGAATAATCTTTTATCGAGCGACTTCTTAGAGAAGTGATGACAAAACATAACTAGAAAGACGTTTGCTCGAGTCGAATAAGCAGGTTATGTAGAAGTCGTTTAATAGTAAAAAAAGCTTAGTAAAAAAATTAATTACACTAAAATTTTATTTTTTTGGAAAAATAATTTAAAGGTAAGTTGGAAATTAAAAATTATTCAATTTAAGGTCAAATCAGTTGTTATTTTAATATTATATGTTTTTGTTGATAAGATTGGATTGGATAAGGTTACCATTTATGGAGCATCTGTGATTCTGTTCTGTATCATATCATTAAAAAAAGGAAAATAAATAAATAAATAAATAAGACACATAAATAAATAATGATTTGTTGGTCTGATGCTTATCTGGATCACTGCATCTAGATATTTTATAATAATAATAATTAAAAGAAAGTGAAAATATTTAATCTTTTTTTATTACAGCCTGAAATTAAAATAAATAATTAAACTTTGAATTTTTTATTTATTTATTTTTTAATATTTAATGAACTGATTTATTATGATTTATAAACTTCAAATTTTTATTGTGGCCAGAAGTTTATTAAACATGTTGCACGGGAGGTCAGATGTTCAAATAAACATAATATTAGGATATTACGAGCTCATTAGACATGTTACATAGGTCGAAGGTTCAAATAAATACAGTATTATAACTTTATGGGTTTATTAAACATGTTGCACGGGAGGACAGAGATTCAAATTAACACCATATTAGGAGATTACGAGCTCATAAGACATGCTACATAGGTCGAAGGTTCAAATAAATAATGTATTATAACTTTATGGGTTTATTGAACATGTTGCACGGGAGGTCGGAGGCTCAAATAAACACGATATTAGGAGATTACGAGCTCATTAGACATACTATATAGGTCGACGGTTCAAATATATACAGTATTATATCTTTATGGGTTTATTAAACACGCTACATGAGAGGTCGGAGGTTCAAATAAACACAATATTAAGAGATTACGAGCTCATTAGACATGCTACATAGGTCAAAGGTTCAAATAAATACTGTATTATAACTTTATGGGTTTATTAAACACGTTGCACGGGAGGTCGGAGGTTCAAATAAACACAATAGTAGGATATTACGAGCTCATTAGACGTACTATAGAGGTGGTCGGTTCAAATAAACACAACAGAACTTTATGAGCTCATTAGACACGTTGCATCAACAGAGGCCAGAGGTTCAAATAAACAGAACACTTTATAGGCTCATTAGACACACTACACTGGCCGAAGGTTCAAATGAACACAATACTATATGAGCTCATTAGACAGGCTAGATTGATAGAGGTCGAAGGTTCAAACAAACACAACATTATAATCATATGAGCTCATTAGACAAGCTGCATCAACCGAGGTCGGAAGTTCAAATAGACACAACATTATAGTTATACGAGCACTTTAGACACGCTGCATCGACAAGGGTCGGAGGTTCAAATACACACAACAATGTAATTATATGAGCTCTTTAGACACGCTACATCGACCTAGGTCAAGGGTTCAAATAAGCACAACGGTGTAATTATAGGAGCTCTTTAGCCCTGATAAAAAAGAATTAAATAAAAAAACAAAAACAAAAACAAAAAAGAAAATTGAAAACAGATTTGGATATAAATACCCCAAAAGGGATCAAAGACTGCGGTGAGTTTCCAATTTCCCATTTTTTCCTTTCAAGGTTTAATGGAAGGACCAAATCTAGAACGATCTCCAATTCTTTCTCAGGTGATGCATTCTTCATCTTCCTTTCTTTGCAGTTGATTTTGCAGCGTTGATTCGCAAGCAAACTGTATATTCCGCCGGCGATTTGCTTGGAAATGACCGTCGGATCTTCGAGGAAGAGGCAGTACGTTCAACACTCTGCCTCCACCAGCCGTCACTCCTCTGTTCTTGCCGCCGCCGCCGACTGTTTTCCTTTATCAGATAAGTCCTCAACCGAAGTCTCGAAAAAGCCCCATACTCTCCCTCGTACTTCATCATTCTCCTCCATCGCCGCCTTCAACGACGCCTCTACTGCTGATATTGTCCTCCGTCTATATTTGGAGGTTGCTCCTTTTGATTCGTCTGGTTCTGAGTCTCCGGCGTCCTCCGATGTCCAGATTTATCTTCATTCCTGTGTTATTCGCCGATCGAAGTACTTTTCTGCTCTATTGTCGGACCGATGGCAGCCTAAGAAGGACAATGATTCAGATCCTTTGAGGTTGAGTTTCAGTGTTCCAGCGGCGCAGGGCTCAATGGATAGTCATTTGGCTGTTCTTGAGCTTCTTTACGTTGATGATATGTCGGAATCCATTGATAGTACGAAAGCTGCGTTGGATCTCCTCCCCGTTGCGCTTAAATTTCTTTTTGAGGATTGTGTTAAGTCCTGTGTTCGATTTCTGGAGGCCGTGCCGTGGACCGATGAGGAGGAAAAGAGAGTGATGGGATTGATTCCATTTCTGCAAGAGGAAGAATCGAGTGAGCTTCTTGCTAGGGTTTCGCCGGGCCGAAATGATTCTTGCGACGAAATGTTGCAGGGACTGATTTTGGCTGCTATTCATAATTATCCCAATATGGCTTTCGTGAAGGCATTCGTGGCGAAGCTTTTGAAGGATTTTTCATCAAGGGAGTCCGCGAAGAGAGTGCTGAAGAGGGCATTCGAGATGAGCTTGAAGGTCGTGAAAGAGTCTTTGGAGGAATATTCAAGCCCAAATTTTAGAGGAGATCATAACGAGACGGAGGCCATTCAAAGGCTCAATTTGCACACTGCAATGACAAATGCTAAGCATTTGTCGTGGGTGGTTGAGAGGATGATAGAATTGAGGGTGGCTGATGTTGCCGTGGATGAATGGAGTGAACAGGCTTCTTTCACTGCAGATTTACAACGAGCATTTCGAGACGATGGGTGGAGGGGCATTGTGCCAGGGTTTCCTTCAGTTCTTTTGCGATGTACCTCCAAGCTTGCCAATGCGGTTGCTGCTGGTAGCATTTTGGCCACCAAACAGGTACTAATCACTTTGCACGAGTAAAATGCTTTTGTTTTAAGTTGAGTTTTTTTGTATTCATGTGCTGTCTGTGTGATTTTTTGAAAGATGTCAAAGTTCTATTTTGGTGTTAATCTGATTGTCTGAATACATTGTGGGTAGGATTTTGTTTTCATATTTTGGAATTGCAATTGAAGCTGACAGATCAAATTTTCGTTGTCTGAAGCTTGTCTGTTGATGATGTAGAGCATATCTTGTGCTTTTAGCTCTTTTTCTATAGTTTCTTTGGAGTCTTTTCATGATTCTTTATATAGTTCTTGTTTTATCTTTGAGTCTTGTGAAGTTCTTGTACTTTAGTCTTTAGTTTACGTTATGGTTACTTTTATTTACTCACTTACCCAATTGGTCATTTTAAGTTGGGATTAGTTCTGTCTTTGGCTGGTTTGTGGCATTTAGAAGCTGGTTGCCTGGTACCTAGGCTGTCTTTTGGAAATTGATTGAATCAATATTGAGATTCATGTTCTGAATCACACCAGTTAAATTATGCAACTAATTGGACCCACCATTTTTTCTTTTACTAACTTTTTGTGTGAGATCCCACATCGGTTGGAGAGGGAAACGAAACATTTTTTATAAGGGCGTGGAAACCTCTCCCAGGGAAAGCCCAAAGAGGACAATATTTGTTAGCGGTGGGCTTGGATTGTTACAAATGGTATCAGAGCCAAACACCGGGTGGTGTGCCAGTGAGAACACTGAGTCTGAAAAGGGTGGACATCGGGCGGTATACCAGTAAGGACATTGGGTCCCGAAGGCAGGTAGATTGTGAGATCCCACATCGATTGGAGAGAGGAACGAGTGCTAGTGAGGATGTTGGACCCTGAAGGGGGTGGATGGTGAGATCCAACATTAGTTGAAAAGGGGAGTGAAACATTCTTTATAAGGGCGTGGAAATCTCTCCTCAGTAAATGGGTTTTAAAAACCTCGAGAGAAAGCTGGAAGGGAAAACTCAAAGAGAACAATATCTTGGGCTGTGTTGCTAGAGATTTATTTCTGATGTGTTTACTGTTGAAAGATCGAGAGTAATGTGTTAGTGTAGAGGCAGATTTGAGAAGTAAAAGATCCCTTTTCTATATTTATTATAAGAAACCAGATTATCATGAAGATGATGGAAAGAACAAAATCAGGCGATACAATTAGTCACAGTATCCTTTCTTGTAGTCTTTTGGATTTTTGTAAATATTAGTTGATTCATTATGTTCTCTCTTTGGTTTAATTAGAAGATAGGCTCTTATTCAAACCTCTGTCTTTGACCCCTAACTGTTCCTTGTTAGTATAAAGATTTCTTCACTTTTGTTCCTTGATGGGTTGCTTTGCCTTGTCTTCGAAGTCGATCCATTAAATGGTTGATTACAGAAGTAGAGTTTTATCGACCCAAGTAACCACTGTTGGGACATTTTTGCTTGATTAGAAAACTGATTCGGGTTGAAATCCCATCCTAACTAAGGATTCTTGTGGTTCCTGGTTCTCCTGTTCCAACTTCTCAGGTTAGGAAGAAGTTCGTAAAGCATTGGCTTCCGGTTCTGCTTGTCAGCAAAGACCATTCACCTTTACTCTCCAGCAACAAGAACCTATGTATAGAGCTGGAGGAAACATTCCTGAGAATCATTTCCACACTTCCCTTGTCAGATGCACAGGAGTTGTTGCAGCAGTGTCTTAGCTTCACCAGAAACGTCGACGATTGCCCTCACCTGTTCAAAGCGTTTAACACCTGGTTTCGACGTGCAACACACCCGCCCCAGCTCGAGAAACTTTGATGGAAAAAGGAACTGTGAGGTGATTTCTTCCCATCTCATCACTGTTGTGCATATACGAAGTGGAAATTAAAAGCCTGTATATAAACCTCAGAAAAGATTTCCTTCTGCAACAGAAGTGGAAACTTCTTTTTTCTCTTTCTTTTTGGTGATGTAATTAGTAGTTAAGAAGCTGGTAATTATGTAGATTGTTTGGCATCTTTGTCTCCTAGTTTGAGCATTGTACAAATCATCTTGGGCAATAATTTCAGAACAGAGTTTTCCAATATTGTTATTTGTTACTACCACGGATTGTTACCTGTTCACTGCAGTGATACATAACGAAATCTTACTGTGTCGGATAGAGAGGCGGGGGAGGTACATGTACATTTACCTACCCGATCTAAGAGAAGGTATATTGAAAAACCTCATCTATGTCAATACCTTCACTAAAAAAAGAGAAGGGTAAATAGTGATTTTCCCTTTTGGTTTTTTGAATAAACTCAACTCAACTTGCACTGTATCGTTGCTGATATTCCAATACAAAAACGTCGAGATATTTGTGATTTGGTTTTTGGTTAAACATGAGATCGATTTCAACTTTCTATCAATTTATTTATATTAGACTAAATTATGAAAAAACATGAATTTTCTTGCTTTGTCTTCATAACACTTGAATTGTACGACAATAATTTAAAACGACACAACAATTATAATTTCAACTCAAAGACACCGTTTCTTAGATTACAATTTTCGTTTAACATTATAACAGGTGTGCATAGAGTTCGTAGATATTTACAAGACGTCAAGGGTAATATTGTAGTTTAAAGTGGTGGCGTTGTGTTAACTCTGCAGGTAATCTTACAGGCTTTAAGTCATCTTTGTCTATTTTAGAAGAGATAAAAACAGAGCTCATTGGTTTCTACATTGCGTTGAGGCCATAAGATATCAATAAAGACCCTTTACTTTCAATGTTTTGTATGTCAACTAATCTCTCTCGGTCTAAGACTATCAATAACAAACATCATAATCATAAAATCTCAAACAAATATGACAGACAGATTCGATAAATTCGAACATCAAAACTAACTTACAAAAGAAAAAAAAAAAACAAAAAAACGACCAAATTGATCAAACTAACTAAAACAGCCAGAACGTTTTCAGGTGTAAAAACAAACCAACTGATACTGAACATCGAATATCGACCAACTGATACTGATTGGTCCAACCAATCAAAATTCAAAGTTTTCATTTCAATGATTTCCTTTGTTAACGTTTATTTTTACTTACCCTTGCATCTCGCAACTAATTTCCATCTCCTAATCCATTGCATAACATTTCAGATGGGAAAAACTATTCAATTGCAAACACTTCCTATCCTATTAGCCAAATTCCATCTTGCAACTACTTCCCTCTCACACTTCATCATACAAACTCCTAGTCTAACACATGAGCACAAGTATTATGAGATCCAGGGAAACAAAAATTCCTTATAAGGGTGTGGAAACCTCTCCCTAATAGACACATTTTAAAAACCTTGAGAGGAAGTCCAAAGAGGACAATATCTGCTAGCGGTGGGCTTGAGCTAAGTATGCAGCCTCATGCCTTAAAGAAATTTGAAAAAAAACCCATTACACTGATTTCAATAGGGATGGGGGCGAAGTCTTTCTCTAACTTGGACTTGTCTAATTCCAAATCCAAGTAGGGCTCTGAAACAGATTTTCATTGATGATGTTGGAAAAAAAACCACTGAAAGAATAGATCCATCTATCTTTGGCTAAGATCATTCTATTCTAATCTTATAGCACCCTATATATCCTAATCTAACAAACGTTCAAAGGATAAAGAACGCCTGAAAAATGATAATCTACCCAGTTACAACAGAATTATGAAGTTTCAATTCAGCACAATGTAGTAAAAGTATTGGACATCAGCCCAAGACCCCATACTTAGAGAATAGAGAAGATCAATTGCATGGTATTGAACAAAGTCAAGAGCAACAAAGAGACGCCTAACGAAAATCCAATCTCTCGGGGGTTGTGGTCAGAGGCTCAAAACAATAGCTCTCTGCATATCCAGAAAATGTGGCCGCATTGCATTATACAATGATCAAAACTAAACAACAATTGTCTAAATGATTCTTTCATGTGATAAAGGTATCTTGCAAAGATACGTTGAAAAGATGAAAAACCTTGCAAGTCCTACGGAAGGTCGTTTCAGCTACCAGTCACTAAGCTGTTTTATCAATTACAATTTGTCTTCACCGACTGTTATGTCACAAAGGCGTAGCAAATCCTAAAAGAGAAGGTAAAACAATGAAGTTAGGAAATGAACTTGATATGATATACAAGAGACATATGGTTGACCATTCAAGATGAAAGTTATGAAGTATCATTTCTTGATTGCAATTCATAGACCGAAGTGTACATACACAAAAGATGCTATCTTAGCCAGTAACCAATGGGTCATTTGGTAACAATTTTGTTTTGCATTGTTCACTTTTTATAGTGTAAAATCTTTTTTCGGTGATTCTTATGTTCTTGGTTTTTGAAATTTGGCCAACATTTGGAAAGGATTTTCTGCCAACATGTAAAAAAAACTAAATAAAGCAGCTGGTAAGCTATCTTATTTTTCAAAAATAACAAAAATTCAAAAACAAAATCCTTCTCAGACTGGGATGAACTTAGAATGGAATGGAGTCCAAGAAAAAAGGCGTTCAGAGTTCAAGGAAATCAAACTGAAAGCACATTACATGTTATACAGATGTAGGAAGTTCATTTCCCAACTTCTTTTACTTCGTTTACATCAAATATGGAAGTTGAGAGATAAGTTTGGGAAATAGAATCAATTTTAGAGGAGCTTCAACTAAACTTTTGCAGTGTATCGAGAGTCAAACAGATAGTAAGAAGATTGGATGCAATAACAAAGCAAAAACCAAATCATATGAACAAAAAACCTCTCCCTACGCAGATTATACTCACGTTTATAAGGGCAACGCAATTAAAGAAATGAAAAAGAAAAGAAAAGAAAACAACCTTCAGAAAGCCAGCTCCAGCAATGCGAGTCGACGGCAATTTTGGACTTAAGCCGAGCTGAGGCGACGGCACTGTGGAGTGGCATCAGAGAGTCCACAGAAGCCAAAGATGAAGCAATCCTGAAGAAAAACAAAGAACGAACAGTGAAATTGGAAGCAAATCAAGTATATTCAGGATCAAAAAAGTCCAAAAACACTAAGAATTAATAAAGATCGCAAAGAAATTCCGGCACGTAAACGACTGATTGAAATTACAAACTTTGAAGTACCTGGAAACGGAAATGAAGCCCCTGGAGGAAGAAGAAACAGGCACTGGTTTTAGGGTTACATGAGCCAGTGTTCTGGTACGGCCGGCCATAGACCTCGAACCCCCCGCCGCCGCCGCCGCTAGAAGTGATCGGCAAATGGAAGCCATTTCTGATCTTCAAATGGAGGCTTCGACACAGGCGCGGGTTTGGGAACTAGCTTTATAGTCAGCATCTTCCTGCCTTTTCTTTTCAAGATATTTCAAGTAAAATTTTAATTATTTAATAAGTAATAAAAATTGTAATAATTTTATATTTAATAGAGTTATTTATAAATTTATTTTTCAAAAATTACATTAAAATTTATATCTAATTAAAATATAAAATTCAATTTTATATTTAAATATATGAATTTTTATTATATAATGAGATAAGTGTGGGAATTTTTTACTTTTTATTTTATTTTTCTAATTTATTAATTATTTTTAATTAAAAAATAAATTAAAGTAAAAAACTCAAGCATAACTCAACCATAATTGACATGTACACAGTCTCTTTAATTTAATTATAAAAAATTAATAAATAGAAATAAAATTACCACAAAAAAAATGAAACAAGACCAAAAAATTCAAAATTTAATTATAAAAGTATAAAATAAAATTGAAATCTAAATACTAAATAGAAATAAAATCCAAAATTTAAGGGTAAAAAGGTAACTTCACCTCTACAAATCCGGGTAAGAATAAAAATTTATGGGCCGTTTGGGCCAGTAAGGGCGCTATATTTGGGCTTACTCAAATTTCTGTATGAAGCCCAAGATCAAGCCCAAGACGCAGCGTTTTATCGACCGGGAATCGGAGCGATGCCGGGACTCCAGCGATCACATAGCTGAGAGCTTGGCCTCTGCCGAAGCATTTCGGAATCCCACCCTGTGAGTGGCGGTGAAAAATATTGCTTAGAAAGAGCCACCATTGGCGATGGCTGCGATCTTAGCTCGGAAATCACTTCTCGCTCTTCGTGCTCGTCAGCTTGTAAGCATTCTTCTCCTCTTTGCCCAAATTTTTGTACTCTACCGGCTATGGATTTATAAGAGCTAATTGCTTGATTATCGATTACGTTGAGATTTTGTTCTGTTTCGGGATTTCTTGCGGTTTCTATTGAATCGAGGTTTTCTGGATTACAATTTCTTTGTTTGTTTTAGTTTAGATAATCGAGTCGTAGAATAGATGGGGTATTCGTTTAATCATACAATTATTGTTATTTGGAATTGTTATGGTAAATGTGTTTCATTTCTAACTACTGGAAATGGGACGGTTTGTTCTTTCTTTCCCCTAACAATGATGGATTTGTTATATAAATGTCCCATATGGAGGCAGATTATGTTTAGAACAAGGAACTTGGAGTACTAACTACTGGAAGATTAGGCAGTTGATGGTTAGGGTGTTTATGCAATGGAATCTCCTGAAATTTTCTGAAAAAAATGTAGGCTATTAACTATATGCATAGCAACGTGAGATCCCACGTCAGTTGGGGAGGAGAACGAAACACCCTCTTTATAAAGGGTGTGGAAACCTCTCCCTAGCAGATGTGTTTTAAAAACCTTGAGAGGAAGCCCGAAAGGGAAATCCCAAAGAGGACAATATTTGCTAGCGGTGGGTTTGGGCTGTTACAAATGATATTAGTGCTAGACACAGGACGGTGTGCTAGCAAGGACGCTGAGCCTCGAAGGGGGGTGGATTGTGAGATCCCACGTCGATTGAAGAAAGAAACGAGCGTCAGCGAGGATGCTGGGCCCCGAAGGGATGTGAATTGTGAGATCCCACATCGGTTGGGGAGGAGAACGAAAAACCTTGAGGGGAAGCCCGAAAGGGAAAGTCCAAAGAGGACAATATTTACTAGCGGTGGACTTGGGCCATTACACGCAAGATCTGTAGATGGTTTCTGGACTTTATTTTTATTTTTATTTTTTTTTTTACAGTTACTTATTCTGTGATCTTTATTATTTATCTATTTCTATGCTGGGGTGGACGGTTCTGTTCAATGTTAACCTTTGAAGGCCCTTTTGTATTATTTTCTTTGCTATTTCATGAACAATATTATCTCCTGAGCTTTAGCTTTCATGGAGGTATTCACAATTTTGATTTGGAAACTTGATGGGTATCATCAAGTTGTAACAATCTTTTTGGCCCTTTGTTTTATTTATTATGTGTAATCTACTGTTGTTAGGCCATCTCTGGACAAGCATTGCAAGGTTCTCGTTTTCATGATCTACGGTCAAGTGCACACTTGTACAGTACCAAAAGAGGTTTTGTTTCTGGTTCTCATCATATTGGCATAATTAATCACCGCTGAAGCTGAACTAAGCTGTTTGTATATGATCCACATGACATATACTTGGTGCTACGGATTTTTCTTTGCTTAAAATTCTTTTCCATCGCTTTACTTGTACAGAAGATGAAGAAAGAGAGCAGCTTGCCAAGGAGATGTCAAAGGATTGGAGTTCAAGTAATTTTATATCTCCTTCCACACTTCCTTCACTGTTTACTTTTAAATATTTTTCAGTTGTTTGTTCCATTACTTCTTATGGTTCTTACAAAAGTTAATTTCCTGGCTGTTTGTAGTTTTTGAGCGTAGCATAAACACGTTATTTCTCACTGAAATGGTCCGGGGTTTGATGCTGACTCTTAAATACTTCTTTGAGAAAAAAGTCACTGTAAGTGTCTTCCAATCAACATTCTTTGGCACTAAGCTAAAATTCTTGTTGATCCTGATTTCTGATTATTGTACATGTATTATGCAGATCAATTATCCATTTGAGAAAGGCCCTCTAAGCCCTCGTTTTCGAGGTGAGCATGCCCTCCGAAGATATACAACTGGAGAAGAACGATGCATTGCATGTAAACTTTGTGAAGCTGTAAGAATCTGAATCTATATCTTTAACTTTTAGATTAAGTCATTTTTGTTCGGACAATATAATTTTACAACGAAATGTTGGAGAAGTCTGTATATTTCTTGCCATCATTGATTTTATAATATATCTTGTCTATTAACCATCCTCATAGTTGAATGTGAAAATAATTGCTGCTCCTTCTGGACTCCTACTGTGAGAGTCCCACGTTACCCTTTATAAGGGTGTGAAAACCTTTCGCCCCGAAAGGAAGAGTCCAAAAAGGGCAATATCTGCTAGTGGTGGACTTGGACTGTTACACCTACTCTTAGACTGTAACCGTAGAGCACTATAGCTTGGTTGATGTTTTACCGTCTCTTAATGCATTGAAGCGCATTGTTATTTTCAGTCACTGTTATCCTCACAGTAGAGCACAATATTATGAGTTCTCTAAAAGATGCAACTTTGAGAACTATTTGTAGTAGCTTTTCTTTGTAACCTTGTAACACTGTGGATGATAAGATTTTCACATTCTAAATGAAGAACTTTGATAATGTTTCATAATATTTTAGCAGGCCATGCTTGTAATATTTTGGGTTTTGATCTCTTAAGTACACATGGAGATAAATTAGCTACTTTGAAACGTGCTACATTTGCGCATAAGTTTGGCTGATTATTACTTCGAGTTGTGGCATTGAACTTGTGTCTGTCATTCTATTTTGATTTCCTTGTTAGATTTGCCCTGCTCAAGCAATCACAATCGAAGCTGAGGAACGGGAAGATGGTAGCCGTAGGACCACAAGGTGATCACCTCCCCACGATCTCGTTATCGTCATATCTATGTCCCTAAATATTCTTAATTTTCAGGTATGACATTGACATGACCAAATGCATCTACTGTGGGTTCTGTCAAGAGGCATGCCCTGTTGACGCCATTGTTGAAGGTCCCAACTTTGAGTTTGCCACAGAGACTCACGAGGTTGATCTTATTATATTTTGAATGTTATGATAAGCTTCTAAACTCGCTGTAGAATGTTAGCCTCATAGTTTCGTGATGTTGTAGGAGCTTCTCTATGACAAAGAAAAGTTGCTCGAGAACGGAGACCGCTGGGAGACCGAGATTGCAGAGAACCTCAGATCTGAAAGTCTCTATCGCTGATACATTTACCCACGGTGCACTCTACATTTGAATTTTCTTAGTGCCTTCACAATAGGATAAACCTGAGCATGCTGTTGAAATTATTTTGCATTCTTGGTAAACATGAGTTGAGAACATAATTCTTGCTGCTTACTAAGATCCAAGTTTGGGAATTTTCTTGGTGCGTTCTGTTTTTCTTCCTAATAAAAATGGGATCGTTATGGTTTCTCATGCAGTTGCAATGTAGCTAAAATATGAAAAATGTCATCAATATATCCTCAATGTTCTTCACGACTTCAATCTCTGGTATTGATTATGAAAAGAAAAGAAAAACTATGAAAATAATAGAAACTTCATAGAATATGCCATTTGAATTTAAGATAAATGAAGATGGATATTGTTAGAATTAAGATAGAGTAACACTTTGAGGCATTAAATTATAAGGAATTTGCATGCGTCTGTTCGTAGTACAATACACCATTTTTGCTTTCTTTTTGAACATTTATAGAAGCTATTACTGTTTTCATTGAAAGTTGTTGCCCTCAGCCATCCATATGAAGAGCTGAAAAACAGAAGAAATGTGGCACCATCTGAAAAACAGGGAACTTTATGACATGTACATTTGTGATATCTTGCAGCCATAGTTGTGTCCACCCTTGTCTTTGTCCTCGTAGTTCTTTTATAGCGTTTTTTTGCTATGCAATCGCTCTGCTACAGATGGATCGGGACTCGTAAATCATCACATTTAGTTCAAACCTTTAACTATTTACACAGATAGAAAATCATTTGATACAATATGTATACAGCATGGTGGAAGAAGTTGATAGGTGTTTAGCATTCCTTACCTTCTCTCTGTTGGGATGAAAGTCTTTTGTTCTCTAATGTCTTTGGATAGCTATGAATTATCATAGAAACATGACCCGATCCATCCCGATAATGGTGCAATAAGAACAAGTTTGAGCTCTTCGTCTGTGCCATATTCTTTTAAGTGGGGAGGGAAGTTGAAAGTTCAAGACCATCAAATCAATCTTCTCTAGTTTCACCCAATGAGTCATCTAGTGTAGTCGAGTCGATAGAGTTGCGAGTCGTATGGACAACGGAGAGAGAACCATCCACATTACCGGATTCAAATCTTTGGCGTTTTTCCACTATATCTGCAACCTTGTTCTTAAACTCTTCATCTGTGCAAGCTAACATGGAACGCAGATTGAGATTTATATGATTCTCAACCAGAACTTGATGCCTAGGAATGATGCGCCCCTCCAGAGAATAGCTGAAAAACCTGTATATAATATCATAAGAACTTTTGGCTCAACAAAATTATGAGCTTCATGGTACATCAAATGAACACGATTGAACCAAACAACCTTTTCGATCCATTGCTTTCAGTTTTCTAGCTGAATTATTTTCAAACTCAGCTTACGAGAAGTTAGTATATGCATATGCTGATTCTTACCTTGGAAAGTCTATAATATCTTGCAGAGGGCGAACCATGGTTCTCCGCAAATATTGATACTTTGGTCGAAGAATGTCGATATTATATCGTAGCAGCATAGGAAAATCAGCAATCATTTCTCCTAGAGTCCGGGTATGTATGCCGAGTGACAGAAAATACTTTAGATTGACCTCAAGCTTATGCACTATGCTATAACCAAAAAGTTCCGGTCCCAAAGCTATAACTTTCCCAATGTCTTTCTCCCTGACTCCTGCTTTAGTCATCAAGAATATGACCTGCATGGTTTTACAAGACTGTTGAGCATATCTTAATGAAAGTTTTCAATTTTCTCTTATAGTAGTAGAGAAGAGACAATATTGTGTTCTTGGAAAGGAAAAACCATCAAACATTCAACATATTTGACATGAGATAATGTCTTACTTGTCACCCACAATGTGAAAAATGGATATGATCAACCGTCCAATAGAACCAAGTAACACGAAGTAGGACGAAGGAAGTCCATATCTAAACATTTCAGGCACTCTCTACCATCTCGCTCGGGTGTTATAGTGTACATTTGTTGATAGCATATGAACTCGATCTTGAGATTATATTGCAATATCATAGAGAAAAGACACTCGTGCTATCACCGTTTAAGAGGGCTATCTCGCTCCCTATCTCAAAGTTTTCGCCCCATTGAACCCTCCGATCCACATTATGACCAGCCTTTTATGAACAACTCCTTATATGGGAATGTCCAGCCCTACCGCTAGCAAATATTTCAGATAATTTAGATATTGTCCGCTTTGGGCTTTTCATTCTAGGCTTCCTCTCAAAGTTTTAAAACGTGTCTGCTAGGGAGAGGTTTCCACACTCTTATAAGGAATGCTTCGTTTCTCTCTCCAACCAATGTGGGATCTCACCAAAGGATACACACACCATAAAGATACCATGGAGATAACTTCCCAACGTCTTTATATGGGAATGCTTTCTTCGGGTTCAATTCAACAAATAAATAATCTGAACTATAGGATATAAAGACAGGATACAGAGGTTAATAAACTCACAACAGGACGGATTTTCTTGTACAGGCTGAATGTCAATAATGATGGAAACTTCACAAGCATGTTACTAATCCCGTCATCTCGAACTCCTATGTCTCTGAAGAATTGCACCTTCATCACACACAAAAAAAAAAAAAAAAAAAACACATCTTAATCATAGATATTCGTTCGTTCTTCATTACTCAGTTCATCTTTTGTCGTAAAATATTGACATGAAACATGAAAGGAATACCTTTGGCACAATGATGGTCTCCAGATCAAGGCAGAAAACCACTGGCTTTATTGTAAGCATCCTCCTCAAACCCTCTTTGGAAATTCCAAGATAGTAGAAGTACTTAACAAGAGGCTTCCATTTACCCTCAATGCTACCATTCATCAACTGTGGTTTGTATGCCAGTAATCTGCCTATATCCTCAATCTCAAGCCCGAACTCCTTTAAATAGTTGACCTGGATGAACACGACGACTAGCACCTCATGTTAGCGAATACCCGATCAGAAAAGTGATTCATATATCACTACATGTTATAGAACAGAAAATCTTAAGTTACATTATTCCCACTGCTTGGAGATAATAGAAAGCAAAGACAAGAAAATGAGCTGGTATTCCACATCAGTTGATTAGGAGAACGAAACATTCTTTATATGGGTGTGAAAACCGCTCCCTGGTAGTCACATTTGAAAAACCTTGAGGAGAAGCCCGAAAGGGAAAGCCCAAAAAGAAAAATATTTGCTAGCAGTGGCCTTGGGTTGTTACAAATGGTATCAGATCCAGATACTGGGCGATGTGTCAGTGAGTGGATTGGGGAGTCCCACATCGATTGGAGAAGGGAATGAGTGCCAGCGAGGATATTGAGCCCCAAAGGGGAGTAGATTGTGAAATCCCACATCGGTTGGGGAGGAGAATAAAACATTCTTTATAAGGGTGTAGAAACCTCTCCCTAGCAGACGCGTTCTAGAAACATTGAAGGGAATCCCAAAATGACGAACCCAAAGAAGACAATATCTGCTAACGGTGGGCTTGTGCCGTTACAAAAACGTTACTACAACTAGATATCCTTTGATCATTATCATCCAAACTTCCCTCTCCTCATGGATTAAGTAGAAACCATGCTCAAAATTCAAATGCTAAGTTACAATTTAAGAGAACATACCTTTTGGTTCATATCTTCAAGACTATACTGACCAAGCACCTTAGGGAAATCAAAGACCATTGTACCAAAGTCTTTCTCATTCATACCCATATTCAAGAAGAACTCCACACGACTTTTCAGTTCTTCCAAACTGTAAGACAGCAAATAAGGACATCGACTCATAACAAAGCCAATCCAAACCATTCTAACTCCATTACTCTCTAAGTAGCTCACAATTTCATCTAGTTCATCATTGCTGCGCTCCAATATATTCCCTCCAGCTTTAGTGAGTGTAAGTCCAAGATATCCTCCCTTTACATGAATCCCCTTCAGCCATTCCACAAGACGTCTAATGGATTCAAGCTTTCCCTTCGACATGCATATGAGCTTACCTATCTGTGGATATGACAATGAGTTATGCTTCAACCACCTGTAAGAAGAAGGGTGAGTTTGGTAAGGTGCAAATTGCTTAAAGATTTTGAACTACTTGGAGATAGGCCATTACCTGATAAGAGGTACCACATTTGATTCTTCAATGACGGTCTTGGCACGAAGATTGAACGACAAATGAGCAAATTCAGGCAACTGCTTCATCGACGCGGCTTGAATCATTACAAAATCGATGAAATCAGGCAACCAACCGAGCAAATTGTCGGTGTAAGTGATTCCAAATTTCCCTTTCCGCATCGCCTCCTTGAAGATCTCGGAGGTTACCTTCCGGCGAATCTCTAGAGCTCTCCTTATTATCTTCCGGTCATCTTCACCATCAAACTCACTTCCTGCATTTCGAAACAGAGATTGCAGGGGAGGGAGAGAAGAACCCACATCGGAATCACTCGGGGATTGAACATAAATCGATCCAGGAAATTGAGGGGTTCGTTTTCTCACAAGCGAGAGTTCGAGAAGCTTCACTTTCTCTTCTTCGGGCAAAGGGGGTTCTAGGTTTTGTGGATTTGGGGATTCGCCGGATGATAGGTACTGGTTAACAAGGGCGGCGGATTTGGAGTTGTGTTTGCGGGGTTCCGGCTGGATAGGATCGGAGACGTTGGTGGATGGTTTTTCCGTCGGATTGTTGCGGCGGAGATCAGCGGAGGCGACGGTGGCGTTGGGTTTCTGGTTGGAGGGGAGGTGGAGGACGACATTGGACAGAGGATTGGGAGTGCGGAAATGAAGAAGACGGAGGTGGGGATGTGGGTTGGAGTATAGAGATGAAGAAGATAACATTATGGCTTTGTTCTGCTCAGAAATGGCGGGAGCAGCGACTGTCAAGAAGATAGGACCATGGTCAAGTTTGGATTTTTTGGAGCATGGGTTTGGGTTTTGGTGGGATTGGGTTCCAAAATCAAACCTCCTTGCCACGGCTCGATGTAAATAGTTCGAGGTCGTGACTAAGAAACCACCGATTTCGTTTGGTGGGTTACTGAGTCGAGAATGTCTAACAATTGAATTTATCTAGCTTCACCCAGTAAACTTTTCTTTGGCTGTGGGGTCGGGATAGCCCCATAACTTCTGAAGAAGGGATGCCTTGTTAAAAACAGGGTCACGATTTTCTTCTCTACCATGACGAATCAATTGATTTAATTTCTTTTGAGCTTTGAAGAGCCATATTTCTCAATGGATCTTATCTCAGTCATCCATCTCGAGATACTCCATAGTCGATCGATTTCATTGTTGTAATTTCAATAAAGTTCGTGCTAATAAGAAGACCAACGAAAATGAATATGTTTTTATAGGAGAAAACCATAACGAATTGTAAAAACAGATACAAGAAATGTCAATATTTATATTGTTTTTCATTGCTCTTATTATGATTCGAGATTTGAACGGTCGATATTCTTACCTTTGCATATCATATTTTTCACATAGCCCGTAATATCATCTACCACTAGCCATGAAAAATCGAGTATCATCTAAAAAAAAAAGAGTAGCATTGACGAGTACACTCATTAAGTAGTAGTGGGCCACTGATACTCAACATAGTAAAATCGTGGACTCTTGATACTCATTAATTACGACCCTCATCTGAAACATAATATCCATACCTTAACTAATCTACACGTGTAACTAGCTAAAACCCCAACAAACCAACTAAGCTTTCTATGTGGGTCGAGCCATAAATTGATTTACGTGCGACGGGATCGGCCGAAAACCGGGCCATTTATGGCTTGAATGGAGAATATAAAACAACTTACAATTTACACTCCAAAACCTACAAGAAACCAATGGATCAATTACAGAAAAAATGCAGCTTGTTTTCTCATAGAAAACAAGTCATCAAACAGAACCCTCTCTCCCTCTCTCTCTTTCTCTCTGTATTTCACTCTCTCAGTTGCTCCAAAACCAATTTGAGTGTGCTGTGTTATTAACAAAGAATCAAACACCAAACCAATGTATTTCCGCTACTCGTTCTCCAATCTTTCGACGTCCGTCGGTTCCGGGAATATCTCCTTCGAATGCTGTCGACGAGAAGACGAATGTTCCCCGCCACCGTTCTGTCCGCTTCCTTGCGAACCCATCGTTCCAGATCGTTTGAAACTACTTCCACCTACTTTTGACATTGAGGCTGATGGAAGCACGGTTAGATCCGATAGACTTTGACGCCAGCTACCGAACAAAGCAGCATTCCAAGAACTTCCTATGGAAGTTGATCTAAACCGTCCTGAACCCGAATTCTCTTCCCTTACTACCTTCAATGGATTCTCCAAAGCCTTGACAATGTATTTCATCAAAGGTCGCCTTGAAGGTTTCGGATTGAGACACGACTTGGCGACGACAGCCACAGCCCACACTTCTTCCAACAGATCCTCGTCTACAATCAAGGACGGATCCAGGATTTTCATCACGAGTTCCTTGTTGTTTACGCTGATGCACGGTAACGTCTGATCTAACCATTCTTTGATTTCGGCATCGGGGGAGGCGCTAATCCCGAGCTTTCCTGTTACTAGCTCCAACAACACCTTTCCGAAGCAGTAAACATCATACGTACATACTGCTGTCTGCAAACCTGGTTGTTAGAATGGATGAATTTAGTATATACTTTCGCATAGTTTTATGCTCTATGACGGTTTTTAAAACGCATCTGCTAGAGAGAGGTTTCCACACCCTTATAAAGAATGCTTCGTTCTCCTCCCCAACCGATGTGGGATCTCACAATCCACCGCCCTTCGGGGTCCAACGTCCTCGCTGACACTCGTTCCCTCAATCGATGTGGGACCCCCAATCCATCCCTTCGGGGCCCAGCATCCTTGCTAGCACACCGCCTCGTGTCCACCCCCCTTAGGGGCTCAACCTCCTCGCTGGCACATCACCCGGTGTCTAGCTCTAGTACCATTTCAGCCCAAGTCCACCACTATCAGATATTGTCTTCTTTGGGCTTTCCTTTTCAGGTTTCCCCTCAAGGTTTTTAAAACGTGTCTACTAGGGAGAGGTTTCCACACCCTTATAAAGAATGCTTCGTTCTCCTCCCCAATCGATGTGGGATCCCACACGTCACTCCACCCCTAATTAGACAACCCGTTAAGGAAAAATAGATGGTTGAGCTGAATTCTTCCTTCAGTTTACATGCTAATCAAGACCATGATATAAGTTAAATGAATTGCTCGTGTGAATCGAATCATGAACCGTGATCGAAAAACAGATATAACAACGAAAAACCAAGTTCTTACGTACCTAAAGCGCCTTGCTCCGATGACCTGCACATCATTTAGGGAAGTTTAATTTCAGAGAATAATCTACGAACAACGTTACACAATAATCAAATCTTCGCAAATCGAGGAACATATATATATATGAGCAGAGGCAAGTTGTAGTCGGATCGACAGATACAGCCACGAAACTACGTTTATAAAAAAAAACAACATCCAAATGAACGGAACGAAACGTGATCGCCACAACATCGATATAATGGTTGCTAAACGATGTTCTTTTCTGAACTTCTTCCTTAAAAAACAGATAGAGTAAATAAAACTATCCATCCATTTCTAGACCCTTTAGTAAGAACACAGAGCGATAAAGACGTCGCTCAAGCTCAGCAGCTTACGGGTTAGCTAGTTTCGATTAGTTCAAACTGAGACCATAAAACGATAAAAAGGGATTCATCTATTGAAGTAAGTACTTACTGTGGCAATTTGAGAAGCTTTGTAATCCTGCTCGGTTGGCCATCGCCTTCTTGGCTACAAACGTTGCTCAAGCTTCCGAGTCGCACTTCAAATTTATCATCAAGAAGTATACTACTTGCTTGAACATCTCTTCATTACCAAAAGAAAGCAATGTTAGTGATTGTTCGGGAGGTGTCGTGGTGCCCAATATGATATCGAGGAACCAAACGAACGCTAAGAACACGAACAACGATGATTATCCACAATAGAAAAGGAAAGATTCTGTAATACCTGTGCACAAGGGGTGGGCTACAATCATGATGCAGAAAACAAAGGCCCTCTGAAGCTCCTAATGCAATTTTAAGCCTTGTAATCCAATCTAATGACTGCAAAGTATCATCATCTGTCTTGATTTTCTTGAACAACGAAGCTGACAAGTCGCCGTTCCGCAGATATTTGTACACCAAGAACTTTTCATCTTCATTCTCCAAGCAATGCCCGATAAGAGGAACCAATCGTACACTCGAAACCTTGCTAAAGAATTCCAATTCGACCAAATAAGCGTCATTTTTAATAACGCGCAAATCGACCCGCTTGATAACAACACGAACCCCATTTTGCAATACGCCATGGAAGAGATCCCCTGAATGACCATGTTTGATAAGGTTCAAATCACTAAAATCGTTCGTTGCTTGAAGCATTTGTTGATACTTGAACGTTTCTCCTAAACTTGCAAAGTCAATCAACAATCCAGGAGATGGTTCGGTAATGTCCTCGGAAAGAACTGGTCCCACGACGCCTCCTCCTCGTTGAGTAGTCGTGCTTCTTGCTCGCCTCCTAAGGAAGATAAACATCAGCAATACTATTAGCAAGATAAGAGAAGTTCCCCCAATAACACTGCCCAAGATAATAGCTTTTCTATTGCTCTTCTTCTTCAACGCTTCCGCTTGTCGAGGTTGCATAGCCTTGGGGAAGCCGAAATTATCAAAAGTCAGGCCTCTTGCAGAATAGAACGATGTACATACAGCCAACGTCCTCTGTCTCGACACATTTGTGAAGCAGTTACTCACAAAAGATACGTTGGCGGGTAGATATTCGGGAACCTTGCCTTCAAAGTAATTCTCCGACAGATCGACTACACTGAATCTTTTCAATATGGGTGTAAGCCTCCCATAAAACAGATTCTTCGATATATTCAGTACAGCACCAGTAATATTCGAACTTGAGCTAGAATTAGGAAGTGTCCCAGTGAAATTATTCCCAGACACATCAAGAAGCTGCAATCCAGGCATAGACCACAACCCACCAGGGATTGAGCCAGTAAAGCTATTATCCTTCAGATCCAAGTATTGCAACTGTGTTAAAGTGTGGAACATATCGTAAGTCAAGGAACCAACGAGCGTATTGCTCCCGAGTACCATATTTCGCAAGCTCGTTAATCCTCTTAACTCCGAAGGCAATGAACCAGACAAAGAATTGACACTCAAGTCAAGGTGAACTAAACTAACAAGCCCTCCAAACTGTGTAGGTATCGAAGAAGATAAACTGTTTCTCGAAAGATTTAGATATCGAAGCTTCGATAAGCTCCCAACACCGGGAGGGATGGACCCAGCTAAGTAATTAGAAGAAAGGTCAAGCAGAGAAAGATGAACAAGAGATGCAAGCGACGAGGGAATCATTCCGGTGAGTGTATTACGAGACAAATCAAGCAACGAAAGGCTCAACAATTGGCCTAAACTAGAAGGTATAGTCCCAGTAAGATTATTATCAGACAGATACAGATCAGTCAAGTTGTTCAAACTCCCAATACTCAATGGAATAGAACCAAATACAGAACACGACCGCAGATCAAGCACTCGTAGCAAGCCAAGACGCAACCCGAACCACTCGGGAATGACTCCGGGAAGCAAGAACTCAGAGGCATTAAAGGACTGCAACAAAGTCAAATTAGCCAAGGCATCAACAGCAAACTGAGGGTTCTGTTTACCAATTCTTGTTCTTCTAAATCCAGCAATATTGATCTCAGTTACCCTACCATTCTGACACTTGATACCCTTCCAAACTAAGCAGGGGTCACCCTTTATGGGCCACTCCTTGCTTCTCAAACCTAACGACGATCTGAGCTCAAGTAACGCAACTCGTTCGACCGTTGAAGAACTCGGTGAACCTTGTTGAAATGTAGGCTCAAACAACAGCAACAACAACAACAAGAACAACCAGAATACAAAGTGTATCTTATAAACCATGATTGTTCATAAACAGGAAGCTAAAATCCTACAAGTAATCA